GGTTATCGCTTTGTCTGGGAAAGCAGGAAGAGAAAGGAAAACCCGTTGGGGCTGCCACAGTGGTGAGGTGGGAACAGGAAGATTGCCGGGCATCTCTGCGGCACTGGGAGAGAGGAGCTTGTAGGATGGACTTCAAAGTGCCATCTGCAGGTGATGTCCCTGCAGAAGCTACAAAGCACCCTGCTCTTTCGGGGTAGAAACAAGAGATTATTTCATGTTTGCTTTGGCCAGAGAGCTCTCCAGATGAATGTCTGCATCGTAATTGGGAACCTTAGTCCACTCGTTCTTTTTGGCTGCAAAATTCTAAATTTGGCTGCCTCCAGTCTTGGATGTCATTAAGCTATCTGGTTTCTGAGAGAGCAGCTGCTTAGCCCTTGCCGAAAATTAGGTCAAGAAGGGATGTCTGATGAGAGGGCTCCCTGGGTTACATATGCTGTCCTTTACCTAGCAACTTCGGAACACTGAGTCACTTATTTTAGAGTAGGAGACATGGAAAATCTCTAAATGTTAAAGACGCACAAGAAAACATAGCTATATTCCAGCCATTTTAAAATGTGATTATTCAGGGTCTGACTCAATCTAACATGACCACCCCTTGCACCCACATACAAATATTTGGTTGTAACCTGTTCTGTGTAGGATCAGGTGGGATGAAATTTGTCTCCTGCCACACTCCATGGAGCACATAATTCCATGAGGGGCCAGATTCCCACCGTGGGCAACATCAGTTCTTCCACTTATTCCCAGTCCAGATAATGGATGTGGGGCAGCTGCAGTAGCAGAAGCCTCCCCGGGATGTGGGGATGACACACTGTGAGGTCGAGCAACCCGCGGTGGGACGACATCAATCATATGCCACCGCTTCCATATGTCGGAGCTGCTGAGGGTAACAGGGATCTCTGCCCATGAGGAAGCACCCGGAATAAATCCCTTTTGCACGGTCCGCGGAGCATCGTCGTACAGCACGGTGAGCACGTGCGAATCTCAGCCGGCACTGTCGAGGTGAAAAATGCTGTCACAGTCTGAACAAATCAGGGACACGAGCTCTCCAGAGCTGCAGGAATCCTGACTGGGCAATGATCACCTTCCAGCCCAGGCTGAAGAGCACCTCCCCTCCTCCTTCCCCAGGCTCGCCAGCTTTCTCCATCAGCGTTCTTGTGCCATTTAGTTCTCTCCTACTTGGGAATATCTGTTAGGGGCACCAGCAGAAAAGGGAGACAGGAGCAAATGCTTTGAACTGTGTTACTCTGAACCCTGTGCATCAGTCACACCCTTTCCCAAGCAGCTCAACACACAGAGCAGAACCTCACCAGAGAAGCAGTGCTTGTTCCTCTTACCCTGCTAAATGCTTCGATCTCCGACCACCGTTCCTGAACCAGAACAGCCCAGAGCTCTGCAACCAGCAAAACTCACCTCAGCTTGCCCCCAGCAGCCTCCCGCTACTTTGCAGAGCATCCAGAAGATGAAAACACTGACTGGGTAATGCAGTCAGAGCCAATTACAAGCAATGCACTTTCCGCTGCCTGATGCTAAAATTAGCTCCTTTATTTATTTATTTATTTATTTATTTATTTATTTCTGAAATAAATGTCTCTGACAAAAAAAATACATGGCCTGGGATACTGCTTCCCAGCTCCCAGCCAGCCACAGACAACACGCTCTCAGCACAACACCTAGTCAAAGACAAAAACCATATTCCATATGCAGAGATGCAGCTAGGAGAGCAGATCATGAAGCCTCGCTCCTGAAAATGAAAGGCAGGAGTTACCTCCACATTTCTGGCAACACTCATCCTGAGGTCAAGGTCAAAGCCGATCTTCTAGTGTCCATATGGCTAATATTTCATGCCAAGACACGTTGCTGCCACAGAACAAATTCAAAGAGGAAAAGATGATGATTTATTTTGGATTTAGTGTGTGGAGATAATGCTTCAGGAAGCTTTAGGTCTGCTGCTCTGAGCATTGGCAGATCTTGTAAGATACCAGATCATAAATGACTGTAATGCCTCCTAAAATTTTTAGATGTTCTTCATGTAACTACTTTCTCTCACACCTCAGGCGCAGAAACACATCTCAGTCAGGTTAATGTTTTCCTCCAGGATATTCCTTAAGGAAGAAGGAAGATGACAGCTTTTCTGCATACTGTGCCCTGGGGTCAAAAACCCCAATCTTCAGCTAAAAACCTCTCTGATATCCATCTCCACTTCCAGAAATACTGATATATCAGAATCTTGCTGTTAGGAAGATTTATAATCTCTCTGTGGCCGTCTGTTGCAGTAGCAGGTCACCGCGCATCAGGCACAGGAACCCAGATGCATTTAACTTGTACCTTTGGCTGGCTTGTAAAGTGTGGATAATTATTTAAAGGAACTACATCGGAAGGGATTTATCTGACAATAAACAATAACCACCGTGACACTGTCTCTGGCTGTGGCACTCACATTTTGCGCATCTGCTAGAACCCTTTAACAACCTTTACATAGTCATAAGCTACAGCTTCTTAGGACAGTTCTTAATGGGTTGAATGGATCACAGTAAGTTCTTCAGTGACAACCAGAGCTAACCTGTATCCTGAACTACTGAAAAAGTAGTCGGCTTAGCTGATCACTGTGAAAATAGCCCATGCTGTGTATTTAGGGAGAACCAGCTGACAACAAGGAATTCACAGCAGGCTTTGCTGGCCCTTCATTTGCTTTATAACTGATCAACAGCCAACTGGAAAGGAAAAGTAAAGCTCGAATTGGTATTTTCAGGTGCTCTGCGTCCTCATCTAAGCATGCCCTGGCTGGATTTGCAGTGACTCGATCATCCGGAGCTCCTGCTGACATTTCTACCGCCTGAGGATGCACAACATCTTACAAAGCGGGCCTTTTACTGAGGTCTCTGGTATTATATTGCCTTGTTTGGCAACTTCGGCTTAAGCCTAGGAAAGTGATATTCTGGATTTCCCTATGGAGGCATGGGAGGCATTTGTCATAGAAATGGACTAAACCAACCTCTTCAAATTTCTTCCTGACCTCTGTCTCTGCTTTGCAAATGCACTCACCCTGAGCAAAGGGCCCTAAGATGCTCAGGACTGGTCTTATTACTCTGAGCATGAGCCCCTTGGGGTAAGGACTGGAAGGCCTTACTATCTGCAGGTGTAATGGTAATGCAGATTGCTGCAAGCACATTGTATCAAATAATAATAATAATAATCAATTATATTTTCAAAGGTCAGTACACACTATTAGGTTTTTTTCATAAGGGGCCATTTCTGAGGTATCAGATCTCATGCTCAGAAGAGGTCAACCTGGTTTGGCTTTTAAATGCTGTGTGTCAAATTCCCACTTTTGGACATCTAATTTTATGACTGCATTAAAACCACTCAGCCCTAATGAAAAGGCTGATTGACCTGACGTCTCTGTGGTGTGAACCGTGTCATCCTGTGGTCTTGCACAGTGCCCCAAGAAGGGACTATTAAGTACAAAGTGAATTAACTTGAGGAAGAAGCACAGAGGAGTGACAGCAGAGTGCACGCAGAGGGTGATGACGTGCATTTAGCCATAAATCCTCCTTCCCAACAACAGGGTGCAACGGTTCAAATCTCAGCAGGATCGCCCTG